GAATGTGGAAACTATCGAACATTATCATTAGAATCACATGCAAGTAAAATTTTGCTGAAGATCATTCAAAAGAGGTTGCAGCAGTACGTCAACAGGGAACTGCCATAAATTCAAGCCAGATTCAGAAGAGAATGAGGAACCAGGGAAATCATTGCTGATGTTTTATTAACCTGTAGTTTATTTACTATGCAAAATCATTTGACCATGTGGATCATAACAAATTATGGATAACATTGCGAAGAATGAGAATTCCAGAACACTTAATTGTGCTCATGAGGAACCTGTACACAGATCAAGAGGGAGTCGTTCGAACAGAACAAGGGGATATTGTGTGGTTTAAAGTCAGGAAAGGTGTTTTGTCAGGGTTGTATCCTTTCACCATACCTATTCAATCTGTATGCTGAGCAAAATAATTCGAGAATCTGGACTATATGAAGAAGAACCGGGCATCAGGAGTGAAGGAAGACTCATTAACAACCTGTGTTATACAGATGACACAACCTTGCTTGCTGAAAGTAAAGAGGACTTGAAGCACTTACTGATGAAGATCAAAGATTACAGCCTTCAGTATAGATTACACCTCAATATAAAGAAAACAAAAATCTGCACAACTGGACCAATAAACAACATCATCATAAACGGAGAAAAGACTGAAGTTGTCAAGGATTTCATTTTATTGGATCCACAATCAACGCCCATGGAAGCAGCAGTCAAGAAATCAAACGATGCATTGCATTAGGCAAATCTGCTGCAAAAGACCTCTTTAAAGTGTTCAAAAGCAAAGATGTCACTTTAAAGACTAAGATGTGCCTAACCCAAGCCATGGTGTTTTCAGTCACCTCATATGTGTGCCAAAACTGGACAATGAATAAGGAAGACCAAAGAAGAATTGATGCCTTTGAATTGTGGTGCTGGTGAAGAATATTGAATATACCAAAAAAAAAAAAACCCAGACAAACCCGTTGCTGTCTTGTCGATTCTGACTCATAGAGACCCTATGGGACATAGAACTGCCCCATAGGGTTTCCGAGGAGTATCTGGTGGATGTGAACTGCTGACCTTTGGTTAGCAGCCATAGCTCTTAACAACTACACCACCAGGGTTTCCACTGAACATACCAGGGACTGCCAAACGAATAAACTAATCTGTCTTGGAAGAAGTACACCCAGAATACTCCTTAGAAGCGAGGATGGCGAGACTTCATCTCACATACTTTGGACATGTTATTAGGAGGGATAAGTCCCTGGAGAAGGACACATGCTTGGTAAAATAGAGGGTCAGTGAAAAAGAGGAAGACCCTCAACGAGACGGATGGACACAGTGACTTCAACAACGAGCCCAAGCATAACAATTGTGAGGATGGCACACGACCAGGTAGTGTTTCGTTCTGTTGTACATAGGGTCACTATGAGTCTGAACTGACTTGAGGGCACCTAACGACAACAACTGTCATTGTTATTCGTATATTTTAAAATTTCCATTTAACCTATGAGTGCATTTTCAACTTTATTAAATTTATATATATACACGAGTAAATTTATATAAATGCATAAATGTGCTATTGTACACATGCTTTATTTATTTGCCTCATTCTACCCTCCATTCCCCTCACCCTCTGTATCCACAACACCCTCCTCACATCAACCTCCGGTAACCATATTAACAATTGGTATATATCCTTTTTATACTTTTTTCCATGCTCATATAATTATTTAAATGCAAGTGGGCTATCATTGTCTGTTTTACAAAATGGTGAGCTTAGATTAAGCAAAGATTTCTTAGATATAACACCAAAAACATGATCTGTAAAAAAAAATTGATAGATTTTTGGATAGAAATTAATAGAATTACGAACATCTGTATTTCAAAAGACACTGTTAAGAGAATAAAAAGATAAGCCACGGACTTGGGAGAAACTGCAGATCATGTATTTGATAAAAGATTTGTATCCAGAATATAGAAAGAATTTTCAACACTTAATAATAAGAAACAACCAAGTAAAAAATGGGCAAAAGATTTGTACAGACATTTCACCAAAGAAGATACATGTATGGCAAATAAGCCCATGAAAAGATGCTCAACCTCATTAATCATCAGAGAAATGCAAATTAAAACTACACGTCTTTCAGAATGGCTAAAATTAAAAATACAACCATACTAAGAGAGAATGCAGAACAACTAGATCCCTCATATCCTACTGGTGGGAATATAAAATGGTACAACCACTTTGGAAAATAATTTGTCAGTTTCTTAAAAAATTAAACATACGCCTACCATTTAATGCAGCCATTCCACTCTCAGATATTTACCCAGGAGAAATGAAAGCATATGTCCATACAAAGACTTGTACATTAATGTTCATAGCAGCTTAATTTGTAATAGCCAAAAACTGGAAACAACCCTGTAGTGAGTCTGAAGAAATTCAGGGCTGATCAAGGAAAAAACACCATGAGATTGCAATGTTGTACAAGCTATTTATTGGGATCAACATATTGACAGCTATATGCAAGGGATGGTCACCCACAGTGGGAGGTCCTCCAGAGGCAAGTGTCAAAGGGAGTCACCAGAAGGGTAAGAGGGCATGAAAACTCCCCTGGGGAAAAGGAGAAGGGACTAGGGGATGCTTATGTGCCCCTAGGAAATGTCCTTCTGCAGCAAGATTGGGAGTCTGGATCAGACAGTTCCAAAATCAGCTGCACCTTAGTGTCTTTATAATTCCAGTTTTATCTTATCTAGGAGCCAGCAGATGCTGGGTGTAGTTTCTCTGGTTATGTAAAGCAGACAGGCTCTAAGTGGCTAAAATCTACTTATTTGGGCTATTTTTTAAATAATTGGTTGCGTACAAATTTGTATTTGTCACAGCTGGCTTTTTTGGGCTCAGGGCTTCACCTTGCTATGAAGACGTAAATAATGGGGCCAATACACAAAGGCCATTTTTGACTCATTTATATAACAAATCCAAATGTCCATCAACAGGTTAATGGATAAACAAATTGTTATATATCCATATAATGGAATACTACTCAGCAGTAAAATCACTTGAACTATTGATACATTCAACAAATGAGGATGACTCCCAAAATAATTATGCTGAAAGAAGCCAGACCAAAAAAAAAAAAAAAAGTACACACAGTATGTTTCCACTTACCTAAGATTCTAGAAAATGCAAACTAATCTCTAACGACAGAAAACAGATTGGTGGTTCCTTTGGGATGGGAGGGGGCAGTTTAAGGGATTATAAAGGGGAAAAACAAACTTTTGGGGGTGACGGGTATGTCATTATCTTGACTGAGGTGCTGAGTTTCATGGGTGTATGCATATGTCAACATTTATCAAACTGTACACTTTAAATATGTACAGTTTATCATGTATGTTAATTCTGCCTCAAAAAAATTTAAAAATGGACTAGATAAGATATTCATAAAAACTGTAGAAGGTGTAACAAATAATGAAACAACAGTACACTCCCTGTATTCATCACCCAGTTTTTAAAAGTAAACGCTATCATTTTAAAAAATTTCTGTTTCCTGGTCACCCTAAAGCCCAGGCTTTACTTGTTAAAAACAGAAGAATGTTTGAAACTATTTTCTGAATACTTTGGTTTCCCAAATGTGAGTATTCTGCAAACTCTTTTTATCTAAGTTAGCTGAGTAGTGGGCCAAAACAGTAAACTTAAAAATAATCTTGCTGTTGAGTTATGAACGTCCGAGAGCCTCAGCCCAGAAAGCAAAGGGGGAATTCTTCTGGACTGTGAGTGACCAGGAAAGCATCACCTTTCGCTTTCGCTTCTTTTTTTTAGAAACTAGAGGAATGCCGTGCGGGAAGTGGGGACTTAAGGAGGCAGGGAGGGGGCGTGTGGTGTTAACGCGAACTTTGCAACTGCGTTTAATCAGGCTCCACCCACAGATTCTGTTTTCTGTTTAAAGGTAATTGAACCTCCCGGGTGGGCCTAAGTACACTGTGCATGTAAAACTCCAGCCGGAAGATAGTAATAGTTTCCAAACCCGGAGAAGGGGCAGCACGAATGGATTTGAAGAAGAGTTTGTAATCAACTTTCCCTCTAAGGGAAACTTGCAAATCTTTTCATTTCGCTTCATGGAAACTAAGCCACGCCTCAACTTCTGCCAAACGTGCCTATTAATTGGAGAAAATGGGCCTCTTGCCCATAGGTTGGCTTGAGCTGCCTCTTACCAGCACAGCCAGTTCTTTCCTTCTCTGCAGTTGATTGGCTCTGCAGTGTGGTCAGAAGCCCACGTCCTGCAATTAAAGGAGGCAGCTCTCTAACTGTTGCTGTTTTTTCTTTCTGCGCGATGGCGCTTACCGTCTTCATTCTCCAGCTGGCTGTCTGCATCCTGGCATTTCCCATGTACCTACTGAACTTTCTGGGCATATGGAGCTGGATATGCAGAACATTATTCCCCCACTTCTTGGCATGGGTCTCTGTGATCTACAATGAAAAAATGGCGAGCAAAAAGCGGGAGCTATTCAGCAACCTGCAGGAGTTTGCAGGCCCCTCCGGGAAGCTGTCCCTGCTGGAGGTGGGCTGTGGCACGGGGACCAACTTCAAGTTCTACCCGCCTGGATGCAGGGTAACCTGTGTTGACCCCAACCCCAACTTTGAGAAGTTCTTGATCAAGAGCATCGCAGAGAACCGACACTTGGAGTTCGAGCGCTTCCTGGTAGCTGCCGGGGAGAACATGCACAACGTGGCCGATGGCTCGGTAGATGTGGTGGTCTGCACCCTGGTCCTGTGTTCGGTGAAGAGCCAGGAGCAGACCCTCCAAGAGGTGTACAGAGTGCTAAGACCAGTAAGTGAGGGAGAGGAGGGAGGACTTGTTAGTAGCAGCCACTATCACCACTATCAATTTCAGATGGAGCGAACATTCTGACTTAAAAAGCAAAACCACATAGAGTTTATGTTTAATGGTGGTGGAATAGTTTGGAAAAGGATAGTGATAATGGTGGTACAGCCTGAAAAATGTAATCAATGTCATTGAACTGTAAATGTGGAAGATGTTGTGTTGGTAA